TGAAAAAAAAGTATTTGGAAAAATGCAATTTAACATTTAATAATTGGTATTAACTAACAAGATAAAGTGCAAAACTTGAGTAGCTAATGCCTTCTGGGTGATTTGAGAAAATGCGACTAGCCAATCAGCGCAAAGCTGACAAGCTTATGTTGTAAACATAGCCCCCCGACGGGAGGAATTTGCACAGCAAAACTCGACCCAGTGGAGTAGGCTGCCTGTCATTTTATTCTATCCGAGAAATCAAAGCTAAAACGCAAATAGAAATTAAAAATCTTTATAAAATAGCTTTTAAATTTCAATCAAATATTTATCGTTTAGCAATAGAATTTTATCTTAAAACTGAAATAGCAAATATTTTTTTCTTTAATACCACGAGACTCCCCTCCCTGATAAAAACAATTGGTCTGTGTTCTACGCGGGTTCTCCATTGCATGCAAAACAATGGCTGACTTCAAGAAGACTTCAGAAGTTCGTTGAAGCGACGTTCAAGTCCAAAGTATCTTAAGAGGAGCCACTGTAAATCCTTTTTCTTAGCTTTTGTTTCTTCTAAAAGAGAAAGTGATGCAAGTTGTGCAGCTCTGACGAGGTTTGGATGTTTGAGAATCGGAAACCATTTCTCTGTGTTGGCTATCTGTTGCGGGCTCGATGAATAATTCTTTCCTGGTTTAAGCTCGCGTTGTAAGGCTGGATCTTGCTTGAACAATGACTTCAAGCAATCACTCTTTGATTTTAAGTTAACTCTAACGGTTACGGGTATCACATTGAAGCTATTTGAAGAAGAGATAAACGATGTTGTCTCCGATGCTGTCGTCTGCCATGTTTTGTTACCCGGAAACTTTGACATCACCTTCGCTGGCTCGCAAATGTGTAAGGCAATCGTTGAAGTCGAATCTTTGTAATAAAGACCGAGAATAGTATCGAAGGCAATAATTATCCTCTGTCTTTTCTTGTCTTTTGGAGACTGATGTTCTATTACGAGCTGGCGATTGGGAGTAAAATGGAAAACAATCTGAAATACTTCTACAGATACCCTGGTGTCTTGCCTCAACCATTCAATTGAACCAACTCGAGCATAGTCGATGTGTGCCTTGTATGAAGATAAAGAACCAAGATTAGCAACACATTCCTTTGCTGTTTCAAAATTGATCTCTGTCAAGGTGGCTTCAGATGTGTATTCCTCGGAATGGCGTAAAAGATCGTCTTGGAGGTGCTCTATTGACTCTCTCTTCTCTGTATTACAACCTACATGTACGCTTATATCTTCGTTGATCAGCAGCTCAACACCGTCTTCTTCGACCTCTTCATTGCTGGAATGATAGCTATTGTCATCATAACACAAGTTGGAGGATTTCTGCGGAAAAACGTAAGTTATAATTTTTGTATTTTGTATATTTATATTACATGTATTATGTATTTTATAGTCAACTAGAGCTCCAGAGAGCTAATTTCCTTATGCATTACCATTGGTTCATCTAAACTGCAACTTGCATCGTGCATAGTCGAGTCCATGTCCATACTAGATTCGTCACTGAATGTTTCAAAATGGATATCCTATAGATAAGCAAGATTTAAATTAGTTCCTTTATTTTAATTTTAAAATATAAGCAACTAAAAATTGACATATACTTTGTATGACAGTGTACATGTACACTGTAAGCTAAATACCATGCTTTGTTGTTGTGCACATGTTGATTTGGAATCTGTTATAGAACACTTAAGGAATGGTACTTCCTGTTGGCAATGAAATTGATTTGATCAATTTAAAATGGTTTCGATAAACTTTATTGACATTGCTTACATGTTTTTTATGTTGAACTTCACAAGTACTGTTCCCATCACATTTAAGTTTCTTTTTTGCTTTCCTGTTTGTTGAACGTGTCTCGATATTCTCATCCAGACTTCGGCTCAAAAGTATTCTCTTCATTTGTTGTGCAAGAATGTTTTTTTGGTAATCAACAGGACCTGTAAAAAAATAATAATGTTTCAATTTTACATACATGTATTACAAATAGTTTTTTGTCATTGATTATAATTTAATAAGGCTTTTCTTACTTAGTCTCATATCAAAACTAGTAAGTTTCAACGATATGAGCCATCATCAACACAATTGTTGACATTATTTATAGTGACAATTTGGTTTATAGTATTACCTATACAACCTTTTTTGCCTCCACTGTATACCACATTACCACATTTACTTAGTGCATGAGATGCTTCCATGATGCTATCAGTGAAGTTATATAGTGATAATTGTAGCCCACATTTGTCGCCATCGTTTTTTGCTTGGTTGATGAAGTACCCAGTATAGGCAACAATCTGTTTGATTGTTGGAGTGATAGCTGCAGTCCCAAATATTTGGATGTACTGAATTCCAAGCAGTACTCGAGCACTCTTCTCCAGTGAGATTAACAGGTGTTTGGATTAGATTGTTGAAAACTGGAGTGAGCCCTTCACCAAAAGTTGCAAGGATTTCAGATACTGGTTGTGGAAGGTCACAAGCTTCTATGAACTGGCGGAATCTGGGGTATAATGCCAGAACTCCAGCTTGTGTGAATCGAATTCTGGCTTCATTAGATGAGGGAACACTGGCTAGCTGTTTTATGTTTTTTAGCCACTTTTCTTCTTGGCTGTTTTTCATCATGATTAGGACCTGTTGATGAAAGTAGCATTTACAAGACAATATAAATTATATGACAGACCAATCTTTGTAATCATGATGATAATCTGACTTACTGCTATACTTATTAAAAGTGTCCATTTGGTACACAATACCTGCATAACTCTTCTCACAATAGTTTCAGTAGCTCTTAAACCATAGTGCATTGTTCCAGGGTAGAAATGTTTCATGTCAGTGTTGCAGATATTCTGCCTCCCTGCATTTCCCCCAGATTCTTTGCTATAAGCTCTCCTATTGGTGTCATTATCTGTTTTTTGACCTGAGATGTACATTGTAATAAAATAGCTTATCAAATAATGATCTAGATAACTATTATGTTATGCATGTATATATACCTAACCAACTAATGTACTGCTGCTTCTTCTCTTCAGCAAGCTGAACTGTCCAAATAGGGCTGCGAAACACCACTTTCATGTCACCAAGCTGGCTTGAATGTTCAGGTGCTTCAGGTATTGGGAATGATGATTTAGAGATTGATGATCCAGAGCCAGTTCTTCTGCCTTTACCATCAGCAACGGAGCGCCGCTCTACTTTTAACTTTACTCCAGTTAGTGGGTGGACTATTTCTTTGAGTTCATCAAGTTGCTTATAAATTGCCTCACCACAACTCTGTGCATGCTCATAGCTGTCAGATGCAAGCCACTTGCCTTTGAATTCAAATAAGAGAAAATACAACTTAAGTTAGAGTGACACTTAGAGTGACTCAAAGGAAAAAATGTTACTCCCATTTACTTGTAGTACATGTCCTTAAATTTTCATGATTATTAATGAAGAATGTAAGCTAAATGTTGCCTGTTTATTGTGATGTTAAAAATATTCCTCATATCTTTTTTAAATAAAAAGGTTGATATATGTATATTAGTGTATGTTTGTATTTTTGATAATTTTAATGGTGCATAAAAAGCATTAATTACTATTGTATGTACCTACCAACTTTTAGTATGGTACTTAGCAGGTTACATGGCTCAACAATCTTGACCTGTATACTTGTTTGACCCGTGAAAAATCGTGACCATAATAAGAATGGATACTCATCAGTGTAGTCAAAAATAACCATAGTGTTGTTTGGAAACGTGAGATAATTGGACATGCCAGGCTGTCTCAAAACATGTTGAAGGTGCTGTTTAATATCGGTGTGGGCGGCAACTAAACCATTTTTTTCAACAAATTGAAGCCCTACTTCTGATGCAAGATTTTCCCTTGTTTCTTTCATTTTACTTACGACGATATCCAGGGGTGGGAATGGGTTAACGCCAATTGCATTCTCAAGAATTTTACCAATGTTTCCTCTCAGGTTGTACTGCATGGCTGAATGGGAGATGCCTAAATGAGACATTACAGCCGATGCAAAATCGATGAGCGCTGTTTTGTTTGAAGCTGCGACTTTAGTCATCAGGTAATCTCGAAAAAATACGCCGTCCATGGTTGTTGGTATAATGTCCGTAAAAAGGTCAATGTTTCTTTGTAGTATCGTGTGAGCGTCTTCCTCTGTCAGGGGATAGTTGATTAGTTTCTTCGTGTCCTTGATACCACTCTGAAACTTTGCCGTAATTGGCGAGAATGATAGAGCTTCAATGACAGAGGGATGTTTTTCAGCGACCGATGAAAGTAGAAGTTCTATTGCTGACTTAAGCTTTGAGCTATCTACGGCAACATCACTGGAAGAGCTAGAGCAGCTTACCTCCACGTACTCCAATAAAGTTAAAGAGTTTGCTATTTTTGGTAGAAACAACTGTCGAAGTTCATCCTTAGTTGCATTTTCTGCAATAAGCCGCAAGCGTGCTCGACGATACAACGGGTTGACGTGTAACAGGTCAGTTACACATGTACTAGCTTTTAACTTACGAGAACTAGAACGGTGACTGGGGTTTTTCGTATAATGTCTGGATAGGGATTGTTTGTGTCGAAACGACTCAAAACAAAATTCACATTCGAGAAGATCACTGGACGAACTTTCTTCCATCGTGAAAAAAGTTCGACTAAATTCCCTTCTGAAAAGCACGTGTGTATTTAAGGTGGAAAATGTTTCATATGAGTATTCAATTCTCAAAGGTTTAATTCTATAATCATTTTGTTTAGTTATGTAAATAACACGACTTGTACTCTGGTTTGTCTGAGTGAAAGGCGAGCTGCGGGTTTTCCCTTTTCTATATTTAACTTTCAAATATGGCCGCTTAACAAAAATGCACGGGCTCACTGGCTTACAACCTTGGCGAATTCATATGCAGGCCTGGTCGCAAATCCATCACCCAGTTCTTGTATTGAAGGAACAAGTGTATTGGTAAAATTTTTCATAACATTGTTTTGAGCTCCGTTGTTGAAGTATGAAATCTGTGAAATCCACATGCTCTTGATTTGCAGTTTTGCAGAATTATGCTTTTCTTTTCTTTCTGTGCTTTTCTTCCGATCACTGTTTAGCAACATAAGCTTATTTAATAATAGTTCAGAGAGGAGAGAGACATCGAAATTTATCGCCGATCACCCGGTATTCTTCTACATCGGAGCACGGCTTATTTGCTTACTTATAARTTATTCGTTCTCAATATGCAAGGCGGTTTTATAGTAAATTTCYCCACTTTGATAGCTGACCTGAAGGTCCAATGCGGATATTCACAACCATTTCCTTGAAATCTTATTTTCTATGTGAAGCTTAAGGTTCTGTTGAAGTTCGGCCGAAGTACATCAACAACAATTTACTCGAGATCGAAGCCTTCAAGTACGTTTTCAGCTTYAAGTACGTTTTCCCTGACTSTTTCTAACTGTTGACACACACTTGAAGCGGAAAAAGTTTAAATCCTTCTTTCAATTTGCACAATTTACGCCAAATAATAGAATTGCAAATACATTTTCCTTCTTATTATATTAGAGGCAAATAGTTTTATCGATTATGACACAGGAAACCCTTCGTTTGATCTGKTGTCGTATAAAATGTTGTAAAACAGTCCTGACGTAATAACTAACGGGCACATGGTCTAGTGGTAATGTCTCTGCCGTTGGCGCGGAAGGTCGGGGGTTCGAGCCACGTCGGGTACCTGAATTTCTTTCGGTTCAAAAAAAGAAAAAGAAACAGGTAGACCGTGAAGATAAATTTCAACTAATTAACAAGTCAAAATATAGCAGTTGCTAAGGCAACCGAGTTTACAGGAAAGTGAGTGAGTGAGTGACACACATCGTCCCCCTCCAATAACTCTTTGATTGCTTACGCAATCTTCGAGTTAAAAACCAACAAGATGAAATTGATAGATATGTATCTAGACCAGAGCTCACTCAGTCATTTCCAATACGAAACTAAACAAAGATCTGTGGCAAATTAGCTATTTAACTACTAACTATTTTTTATCAGGGAAGGAGGAACGCTGGAAATTCCATAAACTTCTTAAAATATAACCTCCCCTACACCAATCTATTCAGCTGCACAAATTAAAAAAACTGCCCCGCCACATTTTATCAACAAATTGTTTTCATAACCTCCTATACTTATATTTGAATTTAATTTTGGCATATGCACATTTAAAAACTTCATAATGCTGGACAGGACTTTRATTAAAAACCCAATACGTGAAGTCTTTAACACACAGTCACGCCAAGARACTTTATTTTAAGGAAAACTAGTTTCGTCCCAGATTAAGGAATTGAAAAGGTCTAATCAGGGACGAAACTAGTTTTCCTTAAAATAAAGTTTCTTGGCGTGACTGTGTGTTAAAGACTTCACGTATTGGGCTGAATCCTGTCCAGCATTATGAAATTGAAAAAGTCTTTAGATGTTTGAATTTTACAAATATCAAACACAATTAAAAACAATAAATAAAAATAAAAAAAATAAATAATAAAACTATGAGTTATATTTACATTAAAACACAATTCTTTATATTTTCTAGTGCCCCCCCTCTTTTTGAAATTGTTTGACAACTTAAATTTGTTGTTGAGCTTAGAGCACTTTATTGTTATATATAATGGCTCTCATTTTGGAACCATCACTGTATGTAGTATGCAGTGGTATGSACCTCAAGATCGAACAAACACGATTTTTTTTATATATAAAGAAAGACCTCCAAAATGACTACTATTGACTCCAACGTCTAGTAAACAGTTCTTAACAAATATCGAGAAAGTTTGCTATTGAAATTCGATGTTAGGATTCTTTCCAGAAGTTAAGGAAAATACATCCATTTACAATTAATTATTCCATTTTTAAAGTGCTTATTGAAAAACGTAGTTTTCTCTGAGTCCACAATTGATATAAGTGAGAAGTTATAATATTCACTTAGGATATAAGGGATACGTTATTAATTTTAATACCATTACGATTATCAGTTAATAACATGAGGGAAGATTAGACTAATCGTCCCTCATGTTATTCATGAGGAAATGAAGGCAAAGGAAACCTTTGCATCCTGGTAGGGACAACTGAATGTCCCTACAGCTGTCTTCATTTTACCTCTGCAATGGACGGTCTGGTTATTGTCTCAGTCACACTGAAATGTGGGATGACTTTTGGGCCAAATTGACCGTGTAGCTCTGGTTCCGAGTYTCTACTTCGTAC